AAAGAAAAAAATTGATAAATGAGATTCCATCAAAATTTAGAACTTTAAATGACATCATTAAAATGAAAAGTAGTCCTTAAACAGACCATATTTATGGTATAATTTCTTATTGCTTTGTAGAATTCCTCAGTGAGTTCATTCAGGCCTGGTAATTTCTCATTGGCAGGTTTTAGTTTATTGTTTCAATGTTTAAAGTAAACAAATTCAAATTGCCTATTTCTCCCTGAGTTTGGAAAATTATGTACTTCAGTGAATTGATCTACTTCATTTATATTATCAAATCTGTGGGAAGGGAATTGTTCATAATCTTTTATTATCTATTTAATGTCTAGGGGCTCAGTAGTCTCTCATTTCAGACTTTAATAATTTTTTTTTCTGTTTCCTTAGTTAATATTGCTGGAGGTTTATATAGTTCATTGATCTTTTCAAAGAAAAGCTTTCTATTTCATTGATTCCCTGCTTTCACTTTGATTTCTGTTCTAATTTTACTTTTTTCTGGATATTTTAGGCTTGTTTTTCTTTTCTAATTTTCCAATGTATAAACTTTGATTGAATTTGGAGAATCTCTTTGAAATAAATGCATTCTATGCTATAAGTTACCCAGTAAGCACTGCATCCTTTAAATTTTGATAAGTTGTACTCCCATTTTCAGCTGGTTTGAAATATTTTTTAAATTTTTTGAGACTTATTTGTCCCATGTGTTATTTAAAAGTATATTACTTAATCTCCAAGTGTTTGAGGTATTTTCCTGTTATCTTTTTGTTACTGATTTTCAGTTTAATTCTGTTGTTGCCTGAAAGCATACTTTGTATGATTTGTATTATTTTAAATTTGTTAAGCTGCGTTTTATTGTCCACAGTGTGATCTGTCTTCGTAAATACTCCACGAGTTTGAGAAGAAGTGTGTTCTCTTGTTGTTTGGTGAAGTATTCCACAGAAATCAACTAGATTAGTTGATGGATAGTTGCTGATTTTTCTCTTGACTGGATCTGGCATTGCTTATAGAAAGGAGATAACATCTCCAACTCAACAGTCAATTCATGTATCTTTCAGTGTTTGCCTCACATATTTTGATGCTATTTTGTTAGGTGCATATACATTAAGGATTGTTACATAGTCTTTGAGAATTGATTTCTCTTTATCTTAGATAATTTTTCTTTCTCTGAAGTCTGCTTTGCCTGAAATATAGCTACTCCAGCTTTCTTTTAGTTAGAGAAGTTAGGCATGGTATATCTTTCTTCATCCCTTTAAATCTGTCTTTATATTTAAACTATATCTTTTTTTCTTTCTTTTTAAATTTAATTTTATTGGAACATTTTAGGTATACAATATGATGACATTCATCATTGGAAATTTGCATCTTTACATAATCTCTCCTGGTTCTTATTTTTTTCCCCATTCCCCTGGCCTCCCTTCAACCCCTCCACTCCTATTTACAAAGACTTTGTTTCCATTTTTTCATTTTCTCATATTAATTCCATTTCCTTCTTTCCTTTTGGCTACCCCTCCCACTTCCCCTTTGCCCCTTTTCTTCCATTTAAACCATATCTTGTCAAGCAACAGCTTATATTTTTATCCTGACAATCTCCTGTTTTATACTTGTTGTATTTAGACTATTAATTTTAAAAAGTGATTATTAATATAGTTGATATTAATATCTACCGTACTTTTTTTTTTGTGCTGGAGATTGAACTCAGGACCTTGCACTTGCAAGGCAGGTGTGGTGCCCCTGAGCTAAAGCCCTAGCCCTGTATTTGTTATTCTTTTCTTTCCACTGTCTCTTGGTTATTTCTCATCTTGTCTTCTCCTCCTTTTGTACTTTCTCTCGTTTTGACTTTTTGTATGCCTTTTGTCTTTTAGCTTATCAATAATACTTTTTCATCATTTATAGTATAACTTACAACAAATCCAAGATTTCTTTCAAATACTACACCACTCACTTCCTGGATAATGCAAGTGTTTTATAATAGAGTATTTGCAGTTCCTCCCTCTTATCCTTTATAACATTGCTATTCATTTCATTTATCTATAAGCTATATTATCTGAATATTTTATTACTATTAGCATCTTGAACAAACTATTATCTATTTGACCATCTAAGAAAAATAAAAGATTTTTAACTGGCAAAGGTGGCACATGCCTGTAATCCCAGCATTCTGAAGACAGAGGCAGGAGGACTGAGAGTTTGAAGCTAGCCTGATATATAATGAGATTCTGTTCCAAAAGGCAACCAAGCCAAACCAAAGCAAATCAAACCAAACTATTCCTTCTCTGTTGCTTTTCCTTTATGTACACCAGTTTCTGACCTTCTTTCAGGAGAACTTTTAACATTTTTTTTCTAAGGAAACTCTACTGGTAGAAAAACTTTCCTTAATGTTTGTCTAAGAAAATGTCTCTGTACTTTTAAAGTACAATTTCACTGGATACAGAATTTTAGGTTGGTGGTTGTGATGAACTGATGTGTCTCACAAAATTCCCATAGTGAAATCCTGACCCACAATGTGGTAGTGGTAGGAGGTGAAGTCTTTGGAATATAATTAATTCAGGAGGATAGAGTTCTCATGAATGAGGTTAGTGCCATTGTAAGAAGGGAAATACTTGCTGTCCTTGCCACATGAGAATATAAGAAGACAGCTAGCTGCAAACAAAATGAATCTCCTTGCTAGGTACTGTGTTGGTGTCTTGATCTTGGATTTCTCAGCATTCAGAGTTTTTGTTAAGAAGCCCACTCTATGGAATTTTGTTACAGAAGCCTGAAGTAAGTGCTTCTTTAATGCTTTACATATTTTTTCCCACTGTTTTCTTGGTTATATGGTTTCTGAAAAGTCAGATGTAATTGTTACCTTGCTCAGCTATATGTAAAGTGTCCCCCCATGTCTTTAAAGTTTTTTTTTTTTTTTGAGACAAGGTCTATGTATTTCAGGTTGGCCTTGACCTCATTATGAAGATCAAACTCATAGCAATCCTCCTGCCCCAGTGTCCTGAGTGCTGAGATTACAGGTGTGCACTACCATACCTGGTTATTGTTTTTCTTTGATTTTCTTTAGCTTTATATGACATGTAGGTTTTTTACGCGATCTTACTGAAAACTCCACAGCTTCAGGAAGGTTGTATTGGCGACCACCATAAATGCTACTGTGTAATGATCCTCCCGCACGGATACTATTGAGACAATGGAATAATCGAAATTCCTTGTCAAGATTCTACAGCCTGGGGAGACTACAGGACTTCCCCAACTTCACATTACTGGTTCAAGCGCAGCGTGGACTGCACCAGCACGCCGTCTACAGGCAGCTCCTCCGGGACCACAAATCCCGAGTCCCGTAGTCTCAAACGCGCCGCCCGGCCGTGGGGTCCCCATGCCGGAAGCGGAGACACAGGCCGCGCCAGCCCGAGGGCCCATGTCGCGGGTGGGAAGCACCGTGGAGCCCCGTTGGGGTGGCGCTCTCCGCGCACTCACTTCCGCGGCGCTGCAGGCCGCGAGGAGCTCAGGGTCCGCTCGCTTCGCCTCCACGCACCCCTACTTTGCCCTGCACCGTCCTGCCCGGGCGGTCCCCTCACTCCCACAGCAGCCGCTGGCCAGGCCAGTCGTCCCACCCGCGTTGGGAGATTTCAGGTTCTCACCGAGATCCCCGGGGTCCAGAGACCGGAAGAAATTAAAAGTCCCGGTCACAACCCCTACAAGGGCCAGATCACTGGTTACCTGGGCAATGGCCCCAGCCTCGCGAGACCTCGAAGAGATCCCGCGAGACTTCGGGCAGCCTTCGCGAGACTTCGGGCAGCCCAGCAGACTAATCCAATGACTACCGTAAGGTTGTAGACGTAGAACGGGGGATCCCTGAGGTGGACAAAACTCGAGGTACAGCTGGCACTTTGGCAGAGAGAATCCCGGAGCCTGACCACAGACAAGTTCATTTTGTAGACTAAAATTTCTTCACCCGTGAAATAGATATAATCGCACCATTTTGTTAGAAGATTAAATTGAAAATACAGTAGTCTTCGTATTGCACACAGTGAATTCCGTTTTGCACAATTGTGACTAATGCTCTTTATTCTGGAAAATGAGACTTTTCTCCTTAAATATTTGATTTGCAGGAATCATGAACATACTAGTGTGCACTCTTAAAAATTCTTATCAGCTCCAAGATTCTTTAACTATAATCGTTTAACATTGAACCTTTGACTTGCCTTCTGTGGCACGATAGATCCCATTGTATGTAGTGTGTCATCTAAATATGATCTTGCTGTAATGATATTATTTGTGTACATTCTGCTTTGATTTTTCTCTTACATTTAGCTCTTTGGGCAATTTAATTGGTATTTTGAAACAGGGTCTAGCTATGTAGTTCAGGCTGGCTTTGAACTCACTTATGTGGTGCAGGTGGGGCTTGAACTTGTGGTGCTCCTCCTGCCTCAGCCTCCTCAGTGCTAGGATTACAGGCCTGCACCACTATCCACGGGTTGGTGGATAATTTAACATACATTTGGAACAGTTTTCCAAGTAGAGTTGAAAAAAAGAATGCACAGATGTTTGGAGCACTTACAAGTCATATGCCATGAGATTTGTGATATTATAGAAATGAAAGTAATAGTCTATAGCAAGTTTGATAGTAAAAGAGAAGGCAAAGCATTATGGTATAAGCACGGAAATGGGTTAACGTTTTCAGATTTTGTAAGTTTTTGAAATTAGCAAGTTGGTTTTTTTTTTTTTGGTACCGGGGATCAAACTCAGGACCTTGCGCTTGGGAAGCAGGCGGCACCACTGAGCTAAATCCCCGGCCCTAGGTGTTTTGGTTTTTCTGCCAGCAAAAATTTGGAAGTTTGGAATTTCCAGATCAGACCTTAGCCTGAGAAAATAAAACATATTTTAGATCAAGCCCTTCTGGAAATTAGTCTTCATCATTATATCATGCCATATAAACATCTCTGAAAGTGACATGCACAGAGTTTTTCCTAGGGTTTGGATGTAATTTGAATGTGTCTCCCTCTCCTCAGGGTTCCTCTGTTGAAATTTAATATCCATAAAGATTTTAAGAGGGTAGATGCTTAATCCTCCTGTGGTATTTAGAGAATGTTATTTTGGGAAGTGATTAAGGTTGGATAAGACCATCCAGGTTTAACTCACATGATTGAATACCAGTGGCTGTACAGGAAGAGGGAGACCAGAGGACACACACACACACACTCACACACACATTTTGTCTCTGTCACAGGATGCTTTGCACCCTCTTGGAACTCTACCAGAAGAAGACCATCACCAGAAGATGTCCCTTGACCTTGTACCTGCAGAAACATGAACCAAACTAAGCCACTTCTCTTAAGCACACTGTGGTATTATGCACTTGGCAACAGAAAATAGACTAAGACAATATTTTTATATGGAATCTATTTTTCTGTTGGACTTTAGTCTGACCTGATAGGAGGTCAGATGCACAAGTGAAGCTCCTAGAAATAATCTAACTGGTTATACAAGAAGTAAATGGCAAAGCTAGGACTTAGTCTCACTTTTAGTCCAAATACTTACATTATCATATGTCAAAAATCTTTTTAGAGAAAAATTGTCTTACTGTATAATAAAACTACTTTGGTATTTACAACTTTGGAAATCACATGCATTCATTATTTCATTACTTCAGTTAATCTTATTGAATGCTTATTACATGTCAGGAACTGTTCCTAATGTAAGGCTGTTTTACAGGGAGCAAAACATTCTTTATGGAGCTTATGTTCTAATGGAAGAAAACACAAACCAATAATAACAATAATCAAAACCAGGGTTAGGGTTAGAATTAGGGTGAGGTGATGATAATTATCATGGAAGAAAATAAAGCTGGGAAAAATAAAGAGCACAGGGAGTGCTGGTGGGTGGATCTTGGTAGGGTAGCTCTTGAAGATGGAGTGCTAAGAAGTATCATGAATTAGACCAGGCAGTACTGTGTAGCCAAACCTTAGCTGGAGTCAGTATCATTTTAAAGAAAGATTTCCTAAGGACTTCTCTCTTCTCCAGGTAAATTTAAGATGATTTTCTTAAGCACCTAGTTCTTTTTAACTTTTAAAAATTAAGGAAAAAAATTGAGAGTATTTCCAAACAGTAGTATGTACTGGAAATGAAATTCTTTGTCTCTAAGTCAAAGTATAAGTGACAGCTGGAGTGAACTGCTGCCAAGAATTTTCTATCAGCCTGCATTTTTGTTCCCCTTCCCTAGGATCTCACCAGACAAGGTTACTGGACAGACTCCTTTTGTAGCTGTCTCCTGCCATTTAGGAAGACAGATTGATCCTGGTAGCAACTTTCTCTCTTCCACTTTTTGGTGATTTTACTCCAAGACTGTAGTATAAAAGGCAATGTAAAAATGGAGTAAAAAAAAAGAAAAAAGACAACCAAAATTACACCCACAAAGGTGCAATTACTGGTATGGTAATCCTACCAGAGGAAAGTTTGCGTAAGTAATAAGACCAAATGAAAGTTGCATTGGGTGTATAATTTATTTTGTGTAGTTTTATCATTTCTAATTTACTGAGCAGAGGCTTAAATGAGAACATGAATTCATGAGGGCAATCAGTTCTTCATGACATCAGGGAAGTTAGTGACTGCAGGGCTTTCAAGGTCTGGTCACCATGGGGCCGTGAAGGCAGTTCAGAGCTTGGGAACGTTAGGTAGTCTAGTAGTGTACCTGTCTCACCCTTCCTCAGATCATCTGGGTTTAGGATGAACAGTATAAGGCCAAACCTCTCAAACTGCCTCCAAATTCAAATCTTGAGCTCTTTTTGAGCCAGTAGCTAAGCAAAAGTTAGCTCAAGGGTCATTCCCATTGAGATGCCATTCCTAATTCTATATCACCAGTATTGCTTGTATTTGGAGACTACGGGAAGCAATGAGTCCCCTTCGTACTTGACAGTGAAGTATTGTAGTAAGAATGTTCCCTGCCTGCTCAACAAATGACAGTATAAATCACCCCAAAGAGAATACATGCTTCCCAGGCTTAGTGTGAACATGATCTCCCATCGCAACAGTCAATGGTGAAAGCGTTTTTTCCCCCCTACAGAAGGTGCTTAGCCATGTTCTATAACATTTCAGCTAATTTAGCTGACTACAACAGTTTCATTTTGATATTTAAAATTTCATTCCAGTATTTGATATTTAGATTTGCTATTAGAAATTCATTTTAGGGCCTGGGATTTAGCTCAGTGGTTCTGGCGCCTGCCTCGCAAGCTCAAGGTCCCGAGTTTGATCCCCTGTACCAAAAAAAAAAAAAGCCTAAGAAATTCATTTTAATTTCATTTTCAAACTTGATTCAAAGCTCTCCTCCCTGCCTCTTAGAGGAGCCTAGATCTGTTCCAAGTTCTGGTGACTTGGGGATGAGAGGCAGTTTGGAGTTTTCTGTGTACACACATCTATTCCTTTTCCTTTGTAGATCCTGGCTCCTTGCTGTGTTAGGATAGAGATGGGCCGGGACGTCAAGAGGGCAGAAGTCTCCCTAAGTGGCCAAGTCACCAGCCACACGGTATTCTTGCTGTGTCTGTGGACTTCACAAGAGAACAGTGGCTCCAACCTGCCCTGTAAAAAGGACCCTCTTCAAGTCACTCTCCCAGACAAAGACCCCTGTGACAGAATAGGGTACGTAGTGGTTAAGTGGGGATTCAGGAGCTGACTGCTGGGCATCAGATACTCTGCCACTTAACAGCTGTGTGACGGTGGCAAGTTTTTATGTGCCTCAGTTAATTTATAAGGAAATCAGGGATAATAATGTAGTACCTGAAGAAATCCAACTGCTGCGATTTTAGGCTGACCGCATCAATCTGAGTCCATCCTAACCACCCCAAGCACAGATGTGCTCATATCCTTATCCAGCCCTCTGCTGATAACTACTCTTAGCCCTGCTACTGATAGCAACCACTGCTCCATGCATATCCCCAAGCCTCATCCTTGAGCAAGATCCTTGCAGGTAGCCACAACCCCTTTTCACTCAACTCCTCGACATGACCCCATAATACACCCCATCAACCTGTAGGAGGGGATCCAGTCTGGTCTCAGTGCCACAGTGGTCCCTCTGGTTTGTTCTGAAATAAACCTGCCTATTGAGCTCATACCTCTGTTTCTTTTCCTCTTTTTTACCTAATAGTACCTACCTAGTAGGGTTATTCTGAGGATTAAATGAGTGAGCAATATGCAGAGTTCTAAGCACTTGCACACTATTCATTCACATGATGTGAGGGACAGGTCAGAACTGTCCCTCCCCATGTCTGACCACTTCCATTTTCACACTAGCATCATTGAGACTTTGTTAGAAGACGAATCTCAGGCCCCACCCAGACCTATAGAATCAGAAACTCGGGTGAGATGAGCCCCCCAGGGTATCCAGAGCCCCCACTGGTACAGAAAATTAAGAGTGAGCTTTGAAATCAGTATGACCTTGAGTAAGTTATAACACCCTATGGCTGTTGTGAGATTGAAGACAGTTGATATACATAAAGTGTAAGGTCACAGTAAATGTTCTCATTCTGTTGTTTCCAGTGAGAACTTTTGAAGCACATATTCTCCAGAGGGAGCTGAGAGAGAGACGTTGCTTCTCAAAGTGTCTCCAGAGTAGCTGCCACAACTGCACCACTCAGGAGCCTGCTGGAAAGACAAACTTTCAGGCCTTTTCCAGGCCTAGGCAGGAGCATTTTCCCTTTGAGGAGCAAAGCAGCTTTATAAACTCAATCCCACACCTAGGCAGGAGTATCTGCATTTTCCCTTTGGGGAGCAAAGCAGTTTTATAGACTCAATCCCACACCTACTGAGTCCAATTCTCTTGGGAGTGGAACCTGCATATTTGAGGCTCAGTGTTGATTCTGTTGTTGAGCAAGGATTGAGACGCCCTAGTGAACTCAGGACAACCATTATCTATCACATGGAAAAAGTCTCCAAGCACCTGTGTTATTAATGTGGGCAGATGCTAGACATGAAAAAGATGGCATTTATTCTAAGAAAAGCAGATTTGAATAGAACACTGCTGGATAAGGTTGAAAACTAGTTAAGAATTTGATCCTACCTTCTGTATGATTAGTCTTTTTGCATAATTTTAGCATATTTAATAAGGCATTATTAAATAAAGCCCCCTTATCTAGGTAGAAATGATGAACTGAGCCTTCTAAAACTACTTTAATGGAACATGTTTTTGAAATCATATTTTAAGATAGCCATCATTACTAAAAGACAGACCATGGCAAAATTCTGTTACTGAATCCGAGTTAGAGTGAAGCAAGAAGGTGAGATTCTTAGGGATGAATTGATACATGCACTAAAACCTTGGAAACACAAACTGCCATAAAACATATCAACTCAAAACTTTAGAAACTTTACTACAGAATTTATCAGCAGTACATTTAAAAAAGTTTATAAATTGAAATGCTTATGAAAAGTCATCATCTTATCACTTATCAAGCACCATTTTTGTGACCTGGAATTGGGTATACTTTTTGGGGTGCAGAAAGTAATAAAGCAATGTTAACTTGATGACTCCAGGAAGAGGGATTGTCTCTCCCTTCTAACTACTGACAATTATTTACTACATAGTTCTTTGACAATATGTGCTGGAGCCTTGTGATATTTTATCCCTTAAATTCTTGAATTGTTACTCAATATTTTATACTTTTTCTTATCTTTATCATTCATCATCTTCCTAGAATAATATAATTGTTCCTTGGAATGAAGCCAGGTAATAATCTGTGAAGACCAGGTGAGAGAGAGCTCATCCTTCAAACTCACCCTTACTTTTAGGAGGCAGCTCTTCGGAGACCCAGCCATAAGTTGAAAGTGTTTACCAAGTCCTCATCCTTGGCAGTTAGAAGATTATGACATTTTTTTCCCTTCTAGTCTCATTGCATTGCAGAAGCATATCTCAGCCTCTCAATTAACTCTTACAGGTTAAGATAGGTTTTGAGGCAGAGGCATCTGTAGTATAAACAAGAGAACAAAAGTAACATAGTGCAGGTGGTACATGGCTAGGATGCTATTTAATGCAAAAGGATCAGTAATTTCATTAAATGTGAATGGACTAAATACTCCAGTTAAAGCACAAAGATGATCAGAGTGGGTTAAAACCCAAACTCAAACTATAGTATGCATGTATGTATTTATATTTGGCAGTACTGGGGATTGAACTCAGGGCTTTTGCATTAAGTTACATCCCCAGTTCTTTAAAAATTTTTTTATTTTGAGGCAGGATCATGATAAATTGCCAAGTTGCCTAGGCTGTGCTAAAACTTGCAATCTTTTTGCCTTAGCCTTCCAGAGTGCTGGTACTATGGGCATGCACCACCATGTGTGGCTTTAAAACAGGATTTTTAAAGATATATATCTAAAACTAAAGGATATGTAAAATTGAAAAGTAAAGGGATAAATTTATATAATGCAAGTACTAATGGAAAGAGAGCTACTGTAGCATTATCAAGAACAAAAAATAACCTTTAAGGTGAAAATTTTTGCTACAAATAGAGTCACTTCACAATGACAATATTCAATTCATTAGGAAAATGTAGTTACTCTAGGTTTTTATGGTCTTAAAACATCCTCTTAAAATATAGAAAACAAAACTAACGGAATTACAAGGAG